AAGGTTAAGTGTGTCATTTTGTTGATTTTAAAATACTTTCCCATCCTTTAAATTTAGAACTACTTTGTAAATGTTAAATAAGTTTGTTTTATACAATATGAGCTTGAATAGTAAGAATGAATATCAGACGTGCTACATTCGCCATGTTGTCATTGTCAAGTGACTGCCTCAGCTGCGTACTGCGTCACAATTCCTATCCCGTGGCCTCGTGGACTTAGTAATGTATCCATCTGATGCACACTTAGAAATCTCGACGGAAATAGTAGGTTATCAAAGTTGGATTTTTTAACAAACAAACTATTATTTTCATATACATTTTCCACCAATTATTTAGTAGGTGCACTGTGGCGTTGTCAAAATGTTTCTTTGTTTGTTTGAGAATCCTGATCAACCTGACAGCAAAAGGGCAAATTCCAGTCGGAAGTGAGCATCCCTATGCCCTACTCACTCCGAAGGTAGAACATGACCATAAATTATTAAATTACTTCTTTGAAGTGACCATTGCTTGTTCCCTTTGCTAACGGACCTGTGGTGGAAGGAAGCCTGTACTTGTAAAATATCAAGATTTTTGCAATTTTGCTTCTCAATTGGTGTTGAAAGGGCACAGAACCTACACACTTTAAGTAGATAAAAGAAATTAAATATACATCTAATAAATATAAAATATTGTAAGTTGAGTTGTAGCAGATTTTAAACTTCCAAATAACTCTAAATCGTATCAAGTGTTACTAAGAATATTGAGGAGTTAAGAATAGCATCCTCATAGATTGATTTACCTATTAAGTAGGATACTTGAGAAGTGAGAGTGACCCCATTGTCCTTTTCAATTTCCTGAGGGCATCTATCCAGCAGCTTGTCTAACCATTCCCGCTCTCTTGACCTTCCCTTATCATTTTCCCATTTTTCAGTTTTTGCTTCCCTTGCCTGTTTACATTGGAGCGGTGATTGCTGACCACTGCACTCTTTTAAGAGTTTGGCTTAATGGTTAATCTCGTCTATTGCCCTAAGGTGCTGAGATCTCGTGGCCACCCCGAGGGGATTCCAGCGTTGGCCAGATCCAGAGATGCCAGCTGAGAGCTAATGATGAAGAAAAGCCCCATTCTCTATCTTAGCAGCTGTTATAGTAAACATCACATGTATTTGCCTGGACCTGTTCAAGACTGTTTCCATTTTCAAGATAATGGGGTCTAAATATAGTGGGCCAGTGAAAAGGAAACGTATCATTCAACCACTAATCTGAATATTTTAGGGGACGCTTCTCCCTCAGTGTCTCTGGTGGTTACAACACTGGTCCTGTAATAATAGGGATTAAAAAGGGAATTTAATAGTAATCACTTTTGCCGTAATGTAGACTGCTTTTGTACTTAAAAGGGTTTTCGTTATAAAATCTTGTACTTTTTTTTTTCGGGTCGTGTCTCATATTTTAGTATGCTTGATTGAATCCTTCCTTATGGTTGCAGGAACACCACCTTCATGAAGCACTCCCTTCTCTTTTTCTTTGAGAGGTAGATTAAAGGGATCTTTGAATGACAAAGAATCTCTGAACTCGGAAGTTGTAAAGAGAACTAGACTCCTTAAACATTTAGTTTTCTGTGATATTTGATAACATACTCTTCTTGTCAACTTAGCTAAACTTGTCAGTCAGGTAAAATTGATATTGAAGTGGCTAAAATAGTGCCAATAATCTTGGTAGTATCAGTAAGAATGGATTATTGACAATTATGGTAATGTTTTATAGATTTAAATTCATAAATTATAGTTACATTTTATTTGTGACGCTATCTGAGCTACCTTGCCAACTGTTGAGCCCAGGCTAGATCTGTAAAGGATTAATTAAAAATTAATTATTCTAGTTAGGGCTTGTTTTTGGCACTTATCTTGCTGAAAGGCGAACAGAACAGTTTACCTTGTCAGTTAAGTTGTTTGGACTTGATATTTCAGGTGCAACTGGTTGACCAAGTAGTCTTGGTGGTTAAGCTTCTGAAACAAACCCTGCGTCCCAATTCGCATACTATCCGTCCTAAATAGTATTCAAAAATAGAAATAGTGCGTCCCAAACCGTAGTATGTTGAAATGAGTGTTTCAAAGATACCCGGATGGTCTACTTTTTCAGAATCCGAAGTGTAGATCGATGCACACTCTTACGGCTGATATTGCCCACAACCCATTGCGCATTGGACTAGGATTTGGTTAGAGAACTATAAACACGAGTAAAAAGTGTTTAAAAAAAAAAACTACAGACACAGAGGTCCCGCGAGTCCCGCGGTTATGTAGATAAAGAGGTTTGAGTGATTAATTGTCACTATCTAACCTAACGAAAATAATTTATTCAATGTTCTCCACATTATATTGCATCTGCAGCAGCATTGTGAACTTTTGTAAGGATACTTTTAGCCATTACTTTTTAAATGCATCATTATATTCAAACAGCAAAACATGAGGAAAGTATCCACATTAAAGACCCACGATTGGCAAATGAACGTGCTCCCGAAACGGTAGGAAATCAAATTAGATTGAATGGAGGATTTTAACTGTGACAAGATGATTGACAGGGCAGTTTATGGTGACAGGATGCACGCAGCACGCTACGGAGCCGTCCGTTAAAGATGACGTGAAAGTATGTCCCAAAGCTTGCCTACTCTTTTGCTACACACTCAAAAGTATGTACTTTTTCTTCACAAAAAGAGTACATACTTTTAGGGCGTAGTATAAGTAAGCGAATTGGGACCCAGGGAAAGTCTTTGGTTGTTCAAGAGTCAACTTGCTCCATCTTGCTGCTGGTTTAGACGTTTGCGCCGATCAGTCGTTTGTGATTAAGCAGCCTGGTGTCCAAAACACAACACGCAAGTCTTTTAATCAAGGCCTGTGCGGCAGTTGTTTAAAGAATGCTCTTTGAGCCAGAACTGATGTCTCAGGTGGAAGAAATGTTGCCTTGCTGTGAGTTAAATGTTGCCTGCTGCTTGTATTATTGGGCTGTGCAAGGCCTGTGGCTGTATTCATTTGTTTGTTTTATTAAACTTGTCTTTAAAAGGCAGAGCAGAATGATTTCCAGATCGTTTGGACTGATTTATTGGCCTGTCTGGTTTTACCCCTTCATCATTCAGAAAACAGCCACACGAGCACCAGCGGTTAATGGCATCGTAATCTGTATTCAGTTAAGAAGTAATATCCTGCTTTGACTCTGCGT